CACCTCGGTCACAGCCATCAACTCTACAGAAGCAACCGCCCCTACAGTCCACCATGACACCTCGGTCACAGCCACCAACTCTACAGAAGCAACTGCTCCTTCAGTCCATCATGGCACCTCAGTCTCAGCCACCAGCTCTCCACCAGGCCCAGCCACCACTGCACCTCACAATGGCTCCTCTGCTGTGGCTACTACAACCTCAGTTCACACAGATGCTTCTTCCTCATTTCCCAGCTCCCAGTCTCCTACTTCTACCACACTTGCCAGCCCCAGCAGCGGGACGATTGCCGGTAGCACTAACCATGACACAGTACCTCCCTCTACTTCCTCCAACAATTCTCCTCAGCCATCTGTTATGGTCTCTTTCTTCTATTTGTCTTTTAAGATTTTGAACTTGCAGTTTAATTCTTCTCTGGAAGATCCCAGCACCCGTTACTATCAAGAGCTGGAGAGGAACATTTCTAAATTGGTGGGTATCTGCCTTTCCTCTGCTGTGCTTTTCTTTTTTCTTTTCTTTTGGTACCGGGAATCGAACTCATGACCTTGCGCTTGCCAGGCAGGCACTGTGCTGCTGAACTATATCCCTGGCCCTGCTGTGCTTCTCTAAAGCAGCTTTAACTACTGCTTGAATTCTTTACATCAAAATTGAGTCCTTTCCCTCTCACCCCAGTTTTTGCAGATTTATCAGCAAGATTTTCTGGGCCTCTTGGATATCAAGTTTAGGTATGGCTCTGGGTAGGACTCTGTGTGCGGGCTGTTGTTATGATGTTGCAGAGGGAGGGTACGTTTGTGGCTGGGGGGAAATGTTGAGGCAGAGGCTAGGAGACCTGTGCCTGAGTTGCCCATTTCCTATAACCAGACCAGGATCTGTGGTAGTGGAATCAACTTTGATCTTCCGGAAGAATACTGTTAACGAGGACGCCGTGCAGTTAGGACTCACTCAGCACACAGATGAAGCAAAAAATATGTATAATCTGAGCATCTCAGATATCAATGGTGAGGCTCCATCCCCAGCTGCAGCCCAGCACCAGGCAGCATCCATTTTCCTCCACCACTGGGTTCTTGCTCTTTGTGTTGGTGTTAGCAGAGGGAGATCACCCTAACTGCTGCTTGTCCTTTTAGCGCGTGAAATACAGGCTCCTTCTTCCACTGCCCAGTCTGGGGTACCAGGCTGGGGCATCGCCCTGCTTGTGCTGGTCTGTGTTCTGGTCCTGCTGGCCATTGTCTATTACATTGCCCTGGTAAGTGCTCAGGCTTGGGCCTTCACTGGAGTCCCTGGTGGGGAAGGAACAGCATGACCCACTGTAACTTGCTGTATCCCCTAGGCTGTGTGTCAGTGCCGCCAAAAGAGCTATGGGCACCTGGACATTTTTCCAACCCGGGACACCTACCACCCCATGAGTGAATATCCCACCTACCACACCCATGGGCGTTATGTGCCCCCCGGAAGCACCAGACGCAACCCGTATGAGGAGGTGAGCTGTGGAGGGCCTGGCAAGGATACAGGTGGAGGCGAGAGTGGTTCTGGGGGCCAGACCTAAGGAGGAGACTGTGGAAGAAAGGAGACCTCGGAGTGAGGACTGTTAGTGCATGCCAGCACTGTTAGTGCTGCCCGGGCCTGTCCGCTTTTACCAATGGCTGAACTGCGACCAGGGCAGTGCTCATTAGGATGCCCTGAGGAGAAATGGGCGAGGCGCTGTGCCCAGGGGAGCCCTTTCCACAGGAGTCATGAGGGTTGAGCACCTGTGCCCTACTCACCTCCTATGTGGGGAGCCGAAAGGGAAGCTGGGGGCTTTCCCCACAGAGAAGGAAGTCTGGCCAAGCCGGGTGAGCAAGGACCCCTCCCTTTTTCCTCTCCTGGCCTTTTCTCCAGGACCTGGTAAATAATTACTGCAGCCACCTGGGGCTGGAGAGCCGCTTGAGTGGGGGAGGAGAGAAGTTTTCTTTTCTTGCCCCATTTTCCTCCTCCTGGGGATCTCACACACACACACACACACACACACACACACACACCTCTTGGGCCAGAGGGGCAAGGGATGGAGGCAGAAAGGGACAGGAAGGGCGGGCTGGGGGGCTGAGTAGTGCCAAGGGCAGGGAGAGGAGGGGCGCAGTGGGAGGAGCAGCCTGCTTATAGTCACCTGGCTGCTGGTGGGGCCGGCAGGTGCTCTTTCGCAATTAACCCCTTGAGAGTGGGCTGGGCCCTAGATCACTTACCTCAGCCTGGGGTGGCTTCCGGGGACCCTGGCAGGTAGTTTCTGTCCTTCACCCTGCTCCCTTTTCCCTCCACCTAGGTTTCTACAGGAAATGGTGGTGGCAGCCTATCTTACACGAACCCAGCAGTGGCAGCCACTTCTGCCAACTTGTAGGAGCTGGACACCACTTGGCAGCAGGCAGAAGTGCCAGTCTCAGGTTCTTCACTGCCAGAGCCCTTTCCATTCGGATCTGGGCTGGTGATCCAGGAGCTCGGGGGGCTGCTCACAGCTTTCCCGAGAGGCTCTGCCAAGCCTTCTACCCATCTGAGCCTGGTGAAGCCCAGCCCTGCCCTGGGGAAAATTCCTGGGGCAGCGTGGCAGTGCTGTGTTGGCCCTTCCGGGAGGATTGATCTAGAAAGACTGATGTGGGCCGGGGACATAGCTCAGCAGCACAGCGCCTGCCTGGCAAGTGCAAGGCCCTGATGCCAGGTCCCGAATTTGATTCCCAAAAAAAAAAAAAAAAAAAAAGCCTGGAGTGTGGGAACCGGAACATGACCCAATAAAAGGTGTCCTCCTGTGCCCACTTGTGATCCTTCATGTATGGCCATGGCTAGGAAAGGTGGTCAGAAATTGTCTGTGAAGAGGCCTGGAAGGGACCTTGGGAGAAGACACAGGGAGGACAAGAGGCCAGGAGCTGTGTTTGAGAAGTAGGCGATGTGGGGAAGAGGTGACGCCGGGTACAAGGGTGGCCTAAGGAAGAAGTTGAGAGTCTCTTCTTTCCCCGTTCCTGGTGGTGCAGGAGGAAGGAAACGAAACCTAGGCCAGCTTTGTTGGGCTGGGCACCTCAGCTCCACCTGTGCTGTGACAGTCCCCTCTCCTCCGGCCTGGGTTTCTCTGGTGCTAGCCCGTGCCCCTCCCCACCTTGCTGGCACTGTGCCCCCAGGCGGCTCTATTCTTAGCTGCCTGAGTGTGAAGTAAATCCTTGAGCAATGATAACAACAGCAGAGTCAACACTGGCAGTGATAAGCAGGGGCTGGAACAGATCCGGGTACTGGCACTAAGGCCTGTCCCCTCCCTGGCCCCTCGCTGCCCCACCTGCCCACTGCCTCTAGGGGTGGGCTCCCTGGAGCCCTGGGAAGGGGGAAGTGGCTCTAGTTCCCTGACCTCTTTGGGCCCAGGCACTGTGCCTGGCACCCTCAACCACAATCTCCCAGGGCCTGATGTCACTGCCTGGATGCCTGGCTAGGGCCTGATGCCAACAACCAGAGTGCTGCGCCCCCTGGCGGCTAAGGGCGTGAAGAGCCTGCGCCTGATAGGTGTGGCAGGAGGGTTGGGGCATTCGGCTTGGGGATTCTTTTCCTTGGGTGCCACATCTACCTGGCACCCCTGCTTCACCAACAGCAGGGCACCCTGAAAGCCTCTGCTGCTACACCTGGCACAGAATCTTAGAGGAACGGTCACACTCTGGGAAGGCAAAAATGTGCCTGGTGTCACAGTTTATTGTTTATAAATCATGAAAATTACAGCTGTTGTTCTGCACAGGCCTAGCAGTGCCCACCACAGGGAGGCAGCATTGGCACCAGAGGCCTTGCCTGGCCCAACCCAGAAGGGACACCCAGCCTTGGCTCGGTCCCCAAGGGAGACTTGGCACTTTGGCATGGGTGCAGGACAGGTAAAGCATGCAAGAGGAACATAGGGACATGCGGCTGGGGGTGTGGGGACCCAAATAAATTAAGCAGGATAGGGTCCCCTCTCCCTCACTACGGAGGCCAAAGCCTGCCTGCCCCAAGGCTTAGTTCAGCACTGATGGGGTAGGGAGACTGGCAAGGCAAACGGCAGACTGAGGATCATGCCCAGTGTTCTAGGTGCCCTCCATCCCAGTCAGCCTTGGGGTATAGGACAGGGGTGGGAAGGGGCGGGGCTCTCCACGATTTGGGTAGGATGCCAAGGGGGGGGGATGGGGCAGAGACTTGGTGGGCATGGGCCCTGGGCATATCCAGAGAGGTGAGCAGAGGAGAGCCCCTTAGGCAAGAGAAAGCTCTGGGAAGACACAGACAGAGGGGACGGGGCAGGCCCACATGGAGGAACTGTTTCGGAGAGAAGCTGCTGGGGGAACAACCGGTGCCAGGAGGCTTGGGGAGGCCAGGGCCCAGTGAGACCCCAGGGCTGGAGGAGGCACCTGAGAGGATCAGTCCAATTTGGCAAAGCCCCCGATGGTGACTTTCCTCTCAGGCTTGGTGCCCACAGGTTCCTGGAGCTGTACTGCACCACCCCCAATGAAGCAGAAGGCAGGGCACACAGGCCCCGAGCAGTCCAGGGGGCACTCCAGGAGCCCACGGAAGGACACAGCATCCAGGAAGGAAACCCGGCCCCGCTCGTAGTCCAAGCAGATGCCCAGGCGGGGTGGCAGGGGCACTGTGCAGCTGGCTGCTGGGCCATCCCTCCCCGTCAGCCCTGCGTTTGCACTCGCTCCGGATCCCAGCAGGATCTTGCCCATGCCAATAGTTAGGAAAGCAAAGGGTGGCGACGCCTCCACTGTGGCATCCTCAGCACCGCTGTCGTGCCCACTGTCTGGGTCGTACCTGCAGGAGCGGAAGTTGAGTAGAAGATGTTGGGGGCTGGAATAAGGAAGTGGAGGCGGGGGCTGGGGGCTGAGATGTTGGGAGGATGGATGCTGGGGAGCAAGAAGTTGAAAGGATGGATTTGGGGTATCAAGAAAAAAACGTGCTGAAGAGATAGGTGTCAAAAGTGTAGAGTTGGGGCTTGGGTTGGTGGGAAAGGGGTGCTGAAAGGAAAGCACACGGGCGAGAGGTGTTGGGGGAGGCAAGACATTGATACAACACACGGAAGGGATGTGGCGCTTCTCAAGATAGGGAGGCATGAAGAAAAACGCTCTTGGGGAATTCACGCTGGGGGGAGGGTTTGGAGAGTTGGGGGATGTGGGAAGAACGAGGGGTTAGTGATTAAAATACAGGGCGCAGTGGGAGCAGGAAGGGATACCAGAAAAAGAGACAGCGAGAGAGACAGAGAGAGGTGGGTTGATGTGAGGGGTGCTAGAGGGATACAGGATTGGGGACAGCAGGGTTCAGGAGGGAAGTGGGGTTGGGGAGAAGCATTCTGAAGCAGTGCAGTGCTAGGGGGTAGAGAGTTGGGGAGAGCGCGTTTAGAGCACGCGTGGGAGGGTGTTACGTAGGCTGTGGGGGTGAGGAGGGTTGAATGTTTAAAGGAAGGATTTTTGGGGATGCTGAGAAAAGAGGTGGGTGAAGGAGAGCTTAGAAGAAGTTCTGCAGAGCAAGGAGCTTGGAAATGGGGTGTGAGGGAGAAAGGGCGCCAGGGCTTGGAGAGGTGGGGTTCTGGCCCTGCGTGAAAGATGGAAGGAAGCAGCGAGGCTTCCTCTTCTGCCATCCATTTCCCTTCACACACCCCAAAAACCAATCCTTGAAGCCCCTTCTGCTGAGCAGGTATCTCTCCTGGCCCCAGGCCCCTCACCCTCTCTTGCTCCTCCGGTCTCTTCTTCCTTCTCAGCCCCGCCCCAGCTGCAGCAAGTCTGTGCCCCCTTGCATGCCTGCCCTGCCCCCAGCACCCACCCAGGGCTCCCCTACCCCACCCCTTCCAGAGGGGCCTGACCTGGGGCTGATCACATCGGGGGCACCCTGGAAGCTTTCCTGAAGCTTGCTCTCCAGCCCGACGCCCACCTTGACCAAGTAGGAGGCAGGGTCTACAGCGCAGGCCCAGTAGCTGCGGCCCTGAGTCACAGCCACATCGCCCAGGACCACATCCACGCTCAGGTGGCAGCCGGTCAGCAGCCGCTCAGCAGCCAGCAGCAAGGGCAGCCCTGGGACACTCCGCACTGCTCGCTGGTCCTTGCTGATGGCCAGCCGCTCTCGGCTCGCACCCCAGCGGCCATCGAGGAAGAAGTGCAGGACTGGAAGGAGGAGGAGGGTTGAGACAGAAGGAAGGACTCTAGGGACAAACACTGGCAGCAGGGACTGTGAGGTGTTAGCACAGGATTTCAGAAGAGGGAACAAGTTGTCAAAGGCTTCGGTCACCAGGAAGGGGCGGGGGGCAGGGGGCTGGGCCTGGGGAACTGAAGGGAGGGGTGCAGGCATGGAAGCCTAGGGGAGTTTTAGTGGTGACTACTGAGACAAAAGCCACTGTCCCAGACCCGGCTGACTCACAAGCTTCCTCTGACCCTCTTCTCGTGGCCAGCCCAGTGGAGAGCCCCACTGTTGTCCTGTGGTGCCTGGTGACATTTCCACCACCATGCAAACCACCACTCTGATGCTGACGCCGGGCCCTCGCATCCAACCTCAACCCCTGGCCCTTTACTTGGGTGGTCTCACCCATACCTCAGCCTCAGGGTGCAAACTATTTTCTAGAGTCATTTTTCTTTTTTCTTTTTTCTTTTTTACAGTACAGGGGATTGAACCCAAGGCCTCACATACGCTGGGCAAACACACTACACTGACCTATATCCTCAGCCCTTTTATAATAATAATTATTATTATTGTTGTCATTGTTATTGTTACTACACAGTTGGAAAAAAAAAAGAAAATGACGTTAGGTTATTGTTACTATGTGGGACTGGGTTGAATCCAGGACCTTTTCATCGAGCTGCAGCCCCAGCCCTTTCTAATATTTTTTTATTTTGAGCCAGGGTCTTGCTAAGACATTAAATTGCGCAGGGTGGAGGACTTACCATCCTCCTGCCTCAGCCTCCCAGAGTGTTTGGATTACAGATGTGTATCACCATACCTGGCTTATTATTTATTTCTTATATTGAGACAGAATCTTGCTAAGTTGCCTGTGCTGGCCTGGAACTTGCCATCCTCCTGCCTCAACCTCTTAAGTAGCTGGGATTACAGGCATGCACCACTCTGCCAGGCTATTTTTGCTAACATTGATTGAGCCCTTACTCTTGAGCTGGAAACTGCTCTCTTTGCATGCATGCCTGTCACTCACCGGGTGCCGGGGGCGTGTGCAGGTGAACGTCCTCACTGTACTCCCCATAGCCGGCCTTATTGCAGCCCCGGACGCGCAGCACATACACTGAGCCTGTGTCGGGGTTCTCAAGAAGGGCGCTGGTGCCCCTCACCTCCTCCCGCCGTTGCCAGCGTGTGGGGCCCTGCTGGGCAGGCACATCTGTGCGCCGGAACTCAACGGTGTAGTGCCAGGCAGGTGGCGAGTGGGGGGGCAGCCGCCAGCACAGGAAGATCTGATCGTAGGCAAAGGTGCGCTGGGTGTCAATGACAGGAGCCTCAGGCACTGTCGGAAGAGATAACGGGGGTCAGTCAGGGCCTGGCCACTGGCCTGGGATGGAGGGCAGGGCAGGTGGGAAAAGGGAAAGCAGCGGGAGCCGGGGGGATGAGTGTGGGTGAGGGAACTAGGAAAAGGACCCATTTGGGCACTGGGCACAGAGTGGGCAGGGCCCAAGGGAGAAAGAGGTTGGGGAGTTGCTGGGCAGGGGTCAAAAGGGCTGTCCCCTGGTTCTGATCTGCTGCTACCTGACTCTGCCCCTGAGCCTCAGTTTCCTCCTCAGTCAAATGGGGATATCAGAGCTGATAAGTTCTGAGGGCCCTTGAAGCTTAGATAGTCTATGAGTTAGAAGGAGCCCCAGGGCCGGGGATATAGCTCAGCAGCACAGCACCTGCCTGGCAATCACAAGGTCCTGAGTTCAATTACCAGTACCAAAAAAAAAAAAAAAACCAACAAAAAAAGAAGGAGCCCCAGGGCGAGGTAGGTAGAGGCCACTGGAACCCAGGCAAGAGGGCCCTGAGCCGGAAGGAAGGGTATGAGGTCAGGAAGGAGGTGCCAGAGACAGCAAGACAGAAAACAGGGAGACGACAGAAGGACAGCAAGCTTGCCAGCAGGCCAAGACATGTAGGCCAAGGGGAAGAGAGTGAAAGTCCAGAGGGCAAGGGTCACAATGACAAGGGTCAGAAGGGCTAGGATTGGGCAAGCGCCTAAAGAAGGCAGAAGGGAGACAGAGCACCAGTCAGGTGGGAGGACCAAGAGGTCAGTGGGGGTAGGAAAGAAGGAAGCAATGAGTGTATGGCTGAGCTGCAAGCTGCTTGGGAGTGGGGTGGGGGAGAAGGCCCGGCGGGGGGCAGGGCCCCCGGGGCAGGGCCGCTGACTTGCCTGGGGTGCTCCGGAGCAGAGTCCGCGGTGGCCACAGCCTACAAACAAAGAGAGGGAGAAGCAGCGCTGAGGGGAGCGCGGTAGGACGGTGTGGCAGGGTGGGAGGAGCGGCTGGCCAGGCCAGGCAGGAGGCCGGAGGTCCCTGGTGGGCACTGCCCCCCGGGCCCGCTGCTGGGAAGGAAGGGAAGAAGGCTCTTGCTGGGCATGGGCCTGGCCATCTCCTTACCTCGTAGGAAGTTAAGCTCTGTCAGCAGCTTCATCTCACGCCCCACGTCCAGCTGGCAATGGCGGAAGGAGGAGCTGGCAGCCGGCCGGAAGGTCTGGAGGGCCTCAGTAGCTCGGGCAATCCTGGGATGGGGGTGGGAAAGGGTCAGGGATGGCCTTCTAGGCGGCCACCCTTCCCCTTCATTCTGCCTTGCCTGTCCCTATAGCCTTGGCCTCTGCTCTGGGTCTCTCCCTTGTCTCTTGGAACAGCTAGCATCAGTTTGATCTTACAGAAGCCCCCAGGGCCCCAGCTCTGCACCTGGTAGTACCTTAGAGACTGTTTTAGATGTTGGCTACACCCAAGATGCCCCTGCCTCCCAGAAGCCTGTGCCCTGTGCCATGCCCCTTAGTACCTGTTGTGCAGCTGCTTGGCTGCTTGCACAAAGCAAGGCTGATCTGTTTCCTTAAGCACTTCCTGGGCATAGCCCACCAGACCTGAGCCATCCAGCAGGCTCCGGTGCTCCTGGAGCTGGGTGCTGAGTCGGGCCAGCCGTTCCTGCTGGCATTCTTCGATGGCCTGAAGCAGCGAGGCCCGCTTCTCTTCCAGCACAGCCCCCAGCCCCCGCACCAGCTGTGACACTTCCTCCTTCGCTTGCTGACCACTCACCTGCTCAGGAGCAACACCCAAAGGAGGCATGGATTACTCTCTTTCTCTTGGAGGGGCACTTCCTGGGATACCACACCCTGGCTAGGATCACAGAGGATCTGGGGAAATCCTACCAATCCTTTCAAAAGGGCCAAGCCACCACTACCCCCAGATGGTCTCAGCTCCTGACCAACCATTTGTTCTAACCTTCCTGGATGTTCATATCATAACTGTAGGGACAGAGAGCCCCTCCACTTCCCCCTTCCTGAGTAGATCTAGAATACAGAAAAAAAGCATAACATTTTTTATTAATTTTACACGTACATGGGGATATTTACAAGAGAGTGAGGTCCAAATAAAATATCTAAAGAATGATGCTTTTGCCAAGTGTGGTAGCACACGCCTGTAATTTCACCACTAGGGAGGCTGAGGCAGGAGGATTGCTATGAGCTCAAGGCCAGCCTAGGCTACATAGTGAATTCTTTTTTTTTTTCAGTATCGAGACTCGAACTTACGACCTTGCACTTGCCAGGCAGGCACTGTGCCACTGAGCTAAATCCCAAGTCCCTACATAGTGAATTCAAGGCCAGTCTAAACTGCACAGTGAGACCCTCTCTCAAAAACAACAACAACAACAACAAAAAAAAAAACCAAAAAGCCAAAACCAAACAAAGAATGATACTTTTAAACTTCTGAGACAAAGAATAATCCATTTGCTTTTTTGCGGGGGTTGCTGGGGATGAAACCCAGGGCCTTGCTCTGCTCTGCCACTGAGCTACATGCCTCACCCCAGAACAATGCCTTTGTGAATGAATGACAGGGCAGGGGATATAGGAGTAGAGTCAGAAATCTTAGGGATGTTGCTAGGAGATAAGTGGGGGGAGGTGTAGAAAGTAGTGGAAGGTAAAAATTCCTTCAGAGTTTGTTTATTCAGGTTCCTGTTGCAGCCCTGATTACAGGGCCTAGCTGGTATGTGAAGGTTATCCCTCTGGAAAGAATCTCTATGGCTTGTTGCATGTGAGGAGACACAGGCCAAAACGTCCTTTCTGAAGTTACAGTACTTCAAGTGATTCCAGCCTGAAATAACCATTACACCAATTTGGCATTTTGTTTTTTGTTTTGTTTTTTGGTCTTTTTGAGACAGGGTCTCGTTATGCAGTTCAGGCTGGCCTTGAGCTCACTTTGTAGCCCAGGCTGGTCTTGAACCTGCAACTATCCTCCTGCTTCAACCTCCCTAGCCTCCTGAGTGTTGGGATTACAGGCCTGTGCCGCTACGCCTGGCTCTTAGTTTGGCATATTTTGGCATAACTTCATATTCCTAATGCTAAGGAATAAGAGAGGCCACCATTGTACTAATGTCCCCTTGGACAGGGCTAGCTACTGTCCAATAGCTGCTCCGCCTCCTCTTTGTCTGCCCCCAAGTCATCTGATCTAATCTGGCAGAAGACTTCTGGGTTCTCACCTATACTAGCTTCAGGTTGTGCACTAACCCTGGGAAGGACGTGAGCCTGAGGGCACTTGAGTTCTCTTCCAGATCTATGGCTGTGTGCAGCCCCAGGCAGTGGTGCTTCTGCCAACCAAGAACCCCCACCTCCACACATGTGCACTCCTCATGGGCTTCCTGTGTAGGCAGCATGGGCATGTCCACTGCCTCCCCTTCTTGCCCTCACCCCAGGGAGGGCCCAGGGCCCACTTCCTCGCCCTCCCTCACCTCTGTGTGCCGGACGGTCTCCTCCAGCTCACAGATCTGGGTCTGTACCGTGTCCTGGTTTCCCAGGATGTATGTCAAGCTCTTTGTCAGCTTGTCCTGAGGGGGAAGAAAGTGGTGGGGATCATGCTCGGCTCCGCAGATGCCAGCAGTTCAGAGGAGGTGCGTGAGGTGTGAGTGTGAGCTGGCGCTGGGGCCGAGGAGGAGGGTCCTCACCTTGAGTGCCTGGTAGGCGCTGAGCACTGGTGTGATCTTGTGCCCGCTGTGGGTGCGCCGCACCCGGCAGAGCTGGCATACCAGCCGCTGACACGTCTTGCAGTAATGAGTCACCTCTTCCTTGTGGTCTGGGCACATCAGGCCCTAGGGACACAAAGCATAGTGAGACAGTCAGCCAGTGTGCTGACCCGCCCCCCAGGAGCAGTTTGGTGCCCTCCCTCCAAGGGTCAGTTTCCAGTGGGCAGGAAATCAGCTGCGAAGGCTCCACAGTGTCACCCAGTGGTACACACTGGTATCAAATCCTTCCCTTCAGCCTCCAGGCAATGCCCATTTCACCAGCATTGCTTCTCCTTCCATCTACCTGGCAGGGATGTGTGGTAATAGCAATAAGGATGATAATTCATCTAAGCTTTGTGGTTCATAATTAACATCATCCATCTTGTTTACTGCTGTGCCCCCACCACCTAGAATGGGATCATGCTCCTAGGTGCTCAGTAACTGTTTGTTCAATGAGTGAAGGCATACAAACCTTCTTAGTGTATAGATAAGGCTTTTTAGTGAACCAACATTGTCTCCTGTGATCCTATCAGCAGTCCTGCAGGTATGCAGATACTACTGTCCCTGTGCAGCAGCCGAGAGGGAGGCTTAGAAATGTCAAATGATTTGCCCAACGATTTTGTTACAGAGAAAGGAGCTTGGCAGTGGCAACCTCCTGCCTACCTCCTTTTGGAAACCCACAGTGCCAGGCATCCCCACACACCTGGCACCACCATGCCCCTCCCTCCCCAGGCCCTGCAAGGGCTGGCTCACCTTGGGGCGGAAGGAGAGGGTGGGCAGGGTGGGTTCATGCTGGGCCTTCTGGGTGCCCCAGGGGTGGAAAAGCTTGAAGCACTCATTGCAGAAGGTGGCACGACACTCTGTGCAGCCCTTGGTAGCCTCTAGTGGTGGGGGCTTGCACAACTGGCACAGGATGGCGCCTCCCACGCTCACACTCTGGCGGTACCGCTCCACCACACGCTCTAGGGTCAGGTTCCGGAAAAGCCCCGCCAGGCCCCTCTCCCCCAGCTCCACGTCACCTTGGCAGGCTGGGCAGGGGAACATGATCACCTGGGGGTGCAGCGCACCTCGCTTCCGCCCAGGGTACGTCCCAAAGCCTGTGGATGGACCCAGGAGGTAGAGGAAATGAGTTACAGCTGCCTGGGGGCGGGTGGAGTCTGTTCAACTGAAACATTACATTTTTACCGGGCCAGAGCTCAGCCCTTATTACAGCCCAGATAAGCAGTATCGCTGTCCCCAGAAAGACATACAGACGTGTCTGACCAGCGATGGACCCTTGCAGTCTTTGTGATGGACAGCCCTACATTCCCACCCTGCCCCACAGGCCCCAGCCCCACCTGATTTAAGCAGTCGGTCCAGGCGATCTGGCTTGGGGAGTGTTCTGCGGGACAGGCGGGGGCTGCGAGTGGAAGGGGTGGAGGCAGGAGAGGTGGGTTCGGAGCTGGGGTCCCCACCATGGCCTATGTAGCCCTGTTGGCCTAGCACCTCCCGGGCACAGGCCTGGCACACATTGTGGGTACAGGGCAGCACCAGTGGCTGCTTGTACATCTCTTGACACACTGGGCACAGCAGTTCCTTCTCCATGTTCTTCATGCTCGTCTGTGGAGGGAGCAGGAGGCTGGGTCAGAGCTTGGACAACTGGCAATCTCAGCAGGCCCCTCAGCTGCCTTTAAAGACGCCAGGGGTCTCAGGAAGGGGCAAGCCAAGCTACCTATGCCTTTGACCAGGTACCTTCTTTGGCCTGGTTCATATATCTTCCCACTGCCTGTCCCTCGCTCTTGGTGCTCGAAGCGCTGAAGGTCCGTAAGAAGCGATGGTTGGAGCTCCAGCCTCCCCTAGCTTTAAGCCCCTCCCCCACCACTTCGGCTGCAGCCGCGACGGGCTGCCCCCCTCACCTGTCTCCATCCCTCAGTCTCTGGGCCGCCGGCCTCTGGCTTTGATTTCAAGGACACCGTCCATTCTGAGCTCGCGCAGGACCCCAGCCCCTTCTCTAGCACTCCCTACAGCGTGCCTCTCTCCAAAGCCCAGCGCCGCTCGCTCTTCAGCCTCCTGCCGCGGCTCAGGCCTGCGGCCGCCACAACACCGTCCTCCACTCTTCACTTCCCCGTCTATCTCCTTCAGTGCCCGGTTCCAACCCATTCCCTTTCGCCCCCTACCCTCTGGCCTGCCTGTCCCTTCTTCCAGCGTAACCCCTTCCCCAAACTGGGTGGTGGTGGTGGAACAAGAGCCCCGCCTTCTCGCCCCCTCCCCACCGGAAGTAGCCCTCCCCCTTTTGGTGGCAGGGGTCCTCAGGCTACGCCCCACCCCCACACCTCACCTTGGTCCCTCTTTTCGCAGCCATCCCGGTCAGGGGCGCAGCTGACACAAAGGAGGGAGGGACAGGGAGGGAGGGAGAAGGAAGTGGTGGGGGGGAGCAGGGTTGGCACCGCCCCTGGGAGAGCCGGGTACGGGTTGCCATGACAACCACAGGATGGGAAGCAGCCCCGAGTGGGGGTGCGGTGGGGTGGGGTCTTGGGGAGGGGCGCAAATTGGAAACTGGACCCTGAGGCGGCTCCTTCATCGCCCCCCACCTGTCCTCGGTTTTCCTGGAAAATATCCAAGCTCACACATGCCCCCTTCACCTGGCATCGCTCCTTTTCCCTGAAGCCCCGGTCCTGGGGCACTGCTGGCGGCTACCCCAGCCCACTGGCTCGCCCAGGCAGCTCCTCGAAGCTCACATGCAGCCAGCGAGCGCTTCGCGGCACTCACCTCCCCCTGCCCTGGGGCTACCCTCTCATCCCTGCACCCCGACCCTCGCAGTCGCTTCTGGCGTCACTAGCCATCACTAGTTTACATCCCAGCACCTTCCTCATCCCTACCTGTTCAAGGTTCCGGCTTGCCCGGGATCCCTTGCACCCCCTCCCTTCCCCGGGACCCCACCTTAACTCACACTGATGCGGACCAGTGCATCCATGATGGAAGTGAAGGTCTGCATATCCTCACCCTCAGCCATGGCCCTACCGTGCCCGCCCGCCCCCGGGTGCCCGATCCCGGCTGCGGCTGCGAACCCCGGGCTCAATGCAGGAGCCGGGTGGGGGTGTGGGGAGGGGTGGGGGTGAGCTGTCACTGCGCATGCTCCAGAGACCAGCCTCGAACGGCGCCCGTCGGGGGTAGGGGGTGGGAAATAGTTCTCCCCACGTGGTCCTCGTGGTTCTAGAAAAGCGGTCGGGGGGTTGGGTAACATGGGAAAGTATTTGAGGGGGGAGCTCTTTCTTATATTGGAATTCTTCAGTGGCCCCAAATCTTAACCGTATAAAGCGAAGGCTAGTTTCAGAGGAAGATGAGCTTCAGGTGGGGAGCGCTACATTTTTGGGTTGGGCAAGATGTTAAAGCAACGAGCACAGGACAGGGAAGTTTGAGGAACGTGCACTACAGATGTCATAACTGAATGGAGAAAAATGCAGAGGTGGGCTCGGCACGATAGTCCATGGGCGCAAGGACTTGACATAAGGGCAGCTATACTGAGAACCGGCGGATGCAGTAGGTAGGCGAAGGCTAGGGACCAGGGCGGTGGCCGAGGGATGCTCTTCGACGCAGTACTTCCTCCGTGCCGGGAGAGGGCGCTGCGGCCAGATGCCAAGAGGCTGAAAAGGGAAGGGGCGGAGTGCAGCTAGTCCGCGCCGGGCGCTGACGCACGCGCACAGCGATCCGCGCTGCGTTCAGCTCCCCTTTCTTGGCCCGAGTCGCTGGCCGGAGCTGCTGAGTAGAACCGCTGGCTGGGCATGATGGGTAACGGGACCCGCTGGACCCCCGGGCTGCGCTGGCGGGGGTCGGAGTGGGGGCGGGCCGGCTTTCCCGGCTCTCCCAGCAAAGCTGACGTGTCCTGGGCTTCAGGACATTTCCACGGGACGGGAGAAATCGGGGTGTCTGGGGATGTTGCCGGGCTGCCCGCGGGCTGTGGGGAGCTAGGGTGTGGCTGCGGACCCGAGAGCTTGGAAGTGGTCCGCCTGCCGAGCGCCAGGACCGGCCACATCGGCCTGGGCCCTGGGAGGCCCGAGGCTGACTCCATCCCTTGTCTCATGCCTGCCAGTGGTGGGCACTGGCACCTCGCTGGCCCTGTCCTCCCTCCTGTCCCTGCTGCTCTTCGCCGGCATGCAGATGTACAGCCGCCAGCTGGCCTCCACCGAGTGGCTCACCATCCAGGGCGGCCTGCTGGGCTCCGGCCTCTTCGTCTTCTCTCTCACTGTATCCTCCCGGTGCTGAGAAGGGGAGGCGTGCTGGAAGGGAGGGACTGCCACGTAGGCTACTGCCCTTCCCCACACAGCCCTGCTGCCCTTGCACTCTCTCCTTAACTCCACTACCCAGGCCTTCAATAATCTGGAGAACCTGGTCTTTGGCAAAGGATTCCAAGCAAAGATCTTCCCTGAGAGTAAGTGAAAAAGTAGGGGTTGATTACTTAACTCTTCTCCTCTCTAGCCTCCCCCAAACATGATACAGTATTGAATTTCCAGGTGTTTAGGTGGTAAAAATTGCTAAGGAGAGCCGGGTGTGGTGGTGCACACCTGCAATCTCTGTGCGCTCGGGAACCTGAAGCAGGAGGATCTCTGAGTTCAAAGCAAGTGTGAGCTACAATAGTGAGTTTAAGGCCAGCCTGCACTATATAGCAAGACCCTGTCTCAAAAAAAGTGAAAGTTGCTAAGGACCCAAACAGTCTGAAGACAGATGATGCTTTTGGTTCCAGCATTTTTTTTTTGGTACCGAGAATCGAACTCAGGACCTTGCGCCTGTCAGGCAGCTGTTTGTGCTGCTGAGCTATATCCCCAGCCACAATTCCAGCATTTTATCTAGCTCCTGGCAGTGGAATTGGAAGAGAAGGCTTCTGGAGCAGGACACCCTTGCCTTCTGGCCAGCTGCCAAGAAGGTTTCAGAACACCAAGTTTGGTCTGATGTTTGGCACCCACCCTTGGGAACTGTTCTTTGTGCCCACCCCAAAAAGCAGGAGGGCCAAGTTCACTGAAGGGTTTCAGTGAGCAGCTGATCTGATAGTAGTGAATTCTGTTTATTTGAGGATCTCTGCCAGGAATGTCCTGTGCAGAGCCTAAATATTAGACATACCAAAGTTTTATGGCAGCAGGAATCCTGACCAAATTATAATACTTCTTAGATTATTTTCTGTTTGGAATAATCCATGTTTAATTACTCATGTAATCGAGAATTGATGATTTAATTACTTCTGGAGAATTAAGTTTATAAAGCAAATTAGGCATCAAGGCCAGATCACCTAAGGAATGCCACATGCTCAAAAATTGACAGCAGATGCCCTCTCCTGTGAAACCTTCACATGGTAAAACAAAGATCTTTCATTTTTGCCCTTGTTTCCTTGCCTGCTTCTAGGTCTTGCTCTCTTCACCTAGCCCAATCATAAGCTTCCAGAGCTCCTTCCATCCAGCAATCCCAAGATCTCTGTCAGTGTTGTTTGTATATGTACCATCATCACTTACTTCTTTTTTTGTTTTTTGTTTTTTGTTTTTTTTTTTGGTTTTTCTCCGGTACCGGGAACCGAACTCACGACCTTGCGCTTGCCAGGCAGGCGCTTTGCCACTGAGCTAAATCCCCAGCCCTTTTTGTTGTTTTTTTGAGACAGAGTCTCCATATGTAGTTCAGGCTGGCCTTGAACTCGTGGTGATTCTCCTAAGTCAGCCTCCCAAGTGCTAGGATTACAGGCATTTGCTACCATACCTGGCATTTATTTCTGAAGGAAACTTGTTGGGAGACAAAGCTCATGTCCCTCTTTGGCTTTTCTGCCCTCCCACCCTATCATTACCAGATGCTTTTTTTTTTTTTTTTTGAGACAGGGTCTTATATAGTTCAGGCTGGCCTCCTGCCTCAGCCTCCTGAATGCTAGGATTACAGCTATGTGCCACCATGCCTGGCTCATTATGAGATGATCCTATTCCAGATGTCCTAATATCCTTTTTTGCTTCTGTAAATGGATATACTCAGATACTCTGCCCTCTACCTTGTGTCCAGGAAGACCCTCAACTTACATCGCTATCACTAGTCAGCAACTTAATAAGTCACTTCTCGTTTGCTGGCTTCTATTGGAAAGGCTTTAGCCCTCTTTCCTAAATGGGAATAAGTGTTGCTCTTCAGTCTGTAGTGCCTTTTGTTTTTTCCTTTTTGTGGTGGACAACCTAGTGAGATTTGGGGCAGAGGTGGTAAAAAGCTCCCGACTTCTCCTGGTCTCTGTGCAATAAAGCCTGGTTTTTCCGTCCAGGCCACCGTCTTAATTGTTCTTGTCCATTCTTGCCTCCCTAGTTCTCCTGTGTCTCCTGTTGGCTCTCTTTGCATCTGGCCTCATCCACCGAGTCTGTGTAACCACCTGGTATGTGCCTGACAGCTGGGTAAGGGTGCATCCTATCACCTCGTCTTTTGGCACTGGATCTGACTGTGATGGTGCCAACCTTCCCCTGCCCGGTACTTCTGCCTCTGTTCTCCTTTCTTTGCCCTTCTTCCTTCCCTGTTTTCCCAAACCATTTTTCCCGGGATTCTTTCCATGAAGAATGTCTGTCCTGGCAGAAGGCTAGCAGCACACTCACTGATGCTGTGATCTTTCTGTCTTCAACCTGCAGCTTCATCTTCTCCATGGTTGGTCTGTACTACATCAACAAGATCTCCTCTACTCTGTACCAGGCAACGGCTCCAGTCCTCACACCAGCCAAGGTCACCGGCAAGGGCAAGAAAAGGAATTAAAAATGTCCAATAAAGTTGATTCTTTGTACTTGTGTGGGTTGTGATATGTTGTGGGTCTCATCTGTGAGTGCCTGCTTGGATACACAGAATGTTAAAACAGATGGGCATCTTACTCTTTATAGACCTGGGCAATGGTGAGGCTTCCCTTCCTCTAAGGTTCATTTTACCGACTATTTATTGAGTGCTGTCAGTGCCAAGCACTTCGCCAGAAACTGGCGTGGGATATACTTGTGTGAGAATCATCATGGAAGAAAAGCATATGAATGCTCTGTAGTCCTGACCTTCGGGGAAAGGGGTTAACACTGCAGTGCGGGAAGACTTGCTTGTCAGAACTGGAATAGATCTTGGAACAGAGGAGTAAGAGAAGGAGAGGCCTCCCAGCCTTGTACTGTGCCATGGGGTCCATGCAGAACTGTTTGGCTCCTCACCCCGAGTAAAGGGCTCTTTGCCTCTTCTGCTGCAAGTCCACAAGGTTGCCCCCTGGGCCTAGTGTTCTACTCGAGCGTGAACGTGTCTGCATTCACAGACTCCCCAGGTTGATCACTGTCCCAGCCTCTTTGTTCTGATACTTCATTTCCCTCTCTGTTTCAGCCAACACAATGTTTGCTTGTTTTTTGTGTGTGTTTTTTTGGAGACACGGATCTCGCTTTGTGGTGTATGCTGGCCTTGAACATACTGTGTAACCCAGGTTGGCCTGGAACTTGCAACAGTTGTCCTGCTTCAGCCTTCCCAGTGCTGGGATTATAGGTGTGCGCTACCATCGCAGGCTTCACAGCCAACACGTAAGAACTTCTTACATTTTAGCAAAGTGTATAAAATGACAGGAGCAAGTGTCTTAACCTCTGAGCCAGCCTTGATGGAAGGGAGGTGGGTGGCTACTCAGGTCCTATTCTGACTATGATCTGGCATGAGAAGCAGCTTGGTTGAGTGCCTGTCCTTTGGGGCTCCCAGGCATTGCCGCCTCTGATGGGTGCAGTGTGCACCTGTCTTGGTCAACTGCGTTCTCCACAGTCCCTGGTAATAGGCATTAGACTGGTGAGTTGGTTGAAAAGAGCTGCCATTGTATTCTTCCAGAACAAAATCTGGTACAAGGGAGCTGCTGAGTTAGGGAAGAGAACCCAGTAAAGATAGAGAAGGGAGTCAAAGGAATTCTGGTCATGGACTAGAGACCACTGTATT